TGGGAGAATCAAGATTCAAAGCGAGCCCTGCAAAGAGTTCAAAAGACCTCGATCTCCAAAATAACCAGACCAAAATGGACTGGAGGTGTGGCTCAAGCAGTAGAGCACCTGCTTTGCAAGCATGAGGCCAAGTTCAAACCCCAGTCTCACACAAAAAAATAAATAAAAACATATAGCCAAGTCAGGAGCCAGTGACTCATGCCTGAAATCCTAGCTACTCAGGAGGCAGAGATCAGGAGGATCAAGGTTCAAAGCCAGCCTGGGCAAACAGTTCTGAGATCCTATCTGGAAAAAACTCATCACAAAAAAAGGGCTGGTGGGGTGGCTCAAGGTGTAGGCCCTGAGTTCAAGCCCCAGTATTGGGGCGGGGGTGGGGGGAAGAGGTCAAATATAACTATAGAAAATAAGACAGTATAGCTACATTTTTTTTTTTTGGTGGGACTAGGGTTTGAACTCAGACCTTCATGCTTGCAAAATTGGTGCTCCACCGCTTGAGCACTTGAGCCACACCTTCAGTCCATTTTGCTCTGGTTATTTTGGAGATGGAGGTCTCACGAACTATTTGCCCTGGCTGGCCTGAAACAAAGATTCTCCCGGTCTCAGCCTCCCAAGTGTAGCTGGGAGTGCAGGCATGAGTCACTGGCTAGTGTATCTACTTGAGAATACACACATATGTCTACAAGCTTTTTTAATTCAATACTGAGAATAACTGAGAATTATTGGACAGCCCCAAGCTTAAGCCTCATTCATCTTCTCCTCTGTCTTGACTTTTTGCTTAGGAATTCTTAGCCAGTCCTTGATGTTAAATATCACCAAACACTGACAACTTTTAAATTCCTATCTCCAGCAGGAACCTCGTTCCTAAACTTCAGACCTGTATGTTATCTGCTTGACACCTTCACTTGGTTACGTGACGACATTTCAAACTAGGCTAAAATAAAGCTATTGATAGCCTCCTGCTCTGCTCTCCCTCAAATACCATCAGAGACAAAGACAAAAATCAAACAAAAACCTGTTTATATCTCTAAAACATACCAGTCTCCCAACATTCCCACTGTTCCCGACACAGCCTTAGTCAGCTATCATCAGCATTTCTTGGCTATGCTATGCTAACGCCCTCTTAGTCCCTCTCTCCACTTCAACTCTCTTTAATTTTTTTTTTTTTTTGAGACAGGGTTTCACTATGTAATCCAGACTGGCCTGTGACCCTCCTGCCTCATCCTCTTGCATCTCTGCTTCAACTCTTGTGTCTCTATAATTGCCATGTGTCAGAATAACCAGAATGTCCTTGGTATAGCTTAAATGGGATCACTCCAATTCCTACTTAAAACCTCCCAAAGGCTCCCCACTGTAATGCTATCTCAGTTGCAACTCTGAACTACAAGACCCTGTGTGATGTTAACAATGACCTAAGAGACCCTGCACAATCTGCTGTTTACCTCTGAAACCGTCTTCCACTCTGCTCTTCACCAACTACTTTCTACAGACTGGATTTTGCCTTCTCTTCCTCACACATTGATACTAATTTAGGATTTTGTACTTGCTGTCTTCTAGTCTGGAACGCTCTGCCCCGGGTCTTCTAACATTCAGGTCTCAATTCAAAAGTCAACTCTCCTGAGCTTTCTGTGCTAATGACTTAGCAACCTAAGTCATTCTCTACTGCTACTTATCATTTTCATATCTGTGAGTACTCACAATTCTTATTTATTGATTTACATGTCTGTTTCTTTTTTTTTTTATTATTATGGTACTGAGGTTTAAACTCAGGCCTTATACCTTGAGAAACTCCACCAGCCTTTTTTTGTGATGTGTTTTTTCAAGATAGGGTCTCGTGAACTATTTGCCCCAGCTGGCTTCAAACCTCAATCCTCCTGATCTCTGCCTCCAAGAAGCTAGGATTACAGGCGTGAGCCACTGGCACCCAGCAAGAAAGAGGTTTTTTTTTTTTTATTCTTTTTGGCAGCATTGGGGTATGAACTCAGGGCCTTCATGCTTGCTAGGCAGGCATTCTACCATTTGAGCCATCCACCAGCCTAATGACTGTTTCTTTCACTGAAAAACAGGGAAAGTATGGAGCTCAGCTTTGAATCCATACAACATAATTATTTATAAATATTTCATTAAGAGAAATTATTTGAAAATAACACATACTTTCATACCAAAATGAACAAATTCAGGAAGCACTTTAAAAAAAAACACCCTTATTTTGCTCAATTTATTATATGGTATGTAGCCTACTTATTACAATTAATTAAATCAAAGTTTACCCATTCTCAAACACAGGTAGGTAGGGGTAAGACTTAACAAAATTCTTTAGACAGAGTAAAAAGGAGATGAGAGGTCAAAAAAAGCAAGTAGACTAGCTACTTGGAAGGCAGAAATAGGAGCCTCACAGTTTGAGGCTCCCTAAGCAAAAATGTTAGCAAGACTCTATCTCACAGAACAAGCTGGGTGTTGCAGTCACAAATTTAATACCAGCTACTTGGGAGGCATAGGTAGGAAGACAGAAGTCTGAGGCTGAGCCAGGCAAAAAGTGTAGGCCCTATGTGAAAAACAACTAAAGCAAAAAAAGGCTGAAGATGCCAGGCACAAGTGACTCACACCTGTAATCCTAGCTACTCAAGAGGGAGAAATCAGAAGGACCACAGAGACATGGTTCAAGTGGTCCTGAGTTCAAATTCCAGTCCTACTAAAAAAAAAAAAAACAACCACACAAACAAACAAAAAAACTTTTTTATAACACATGGTCTAGCCACAGTTAGATACACACATCCTAGGGTGGCTCCAACACATGATCTTCCTGCCTCAGCCTCCTGAGTGCTGGGATTACACTTATGTAATATGCAACAAAACAATTTATTTTTACACATTTTATTTTTGGAAACTACACTTTTTTCAAAAAAAAAAAAACAAAACCTGTCAATCAGAAGAGTGCCATTGTTTTCCATTTTTGCAAGCATCGTTAATTGTCCAGCATACTAGAAGACAGCTAGATTACATGATCATGTCCATTAAGAGCTCAGAAGTTTATTACTGCTGGAAAACTCTTGTTACACTTGTGAAAAAGCTCAGGGATTTCAGGGGTCCCCATCCCACACTCCGAGAATAAACCATGGTATCTGTCCATTTGTCTCTCTTTAAGTTCCGTCAAGCCCATAAGCCATGAGCCTTCTTCAACTGTGCACCCCATGAGGGAACATGGTTGACGGGCTTCATACACATATAAGAAATATAATGATGAAACTGTTTGCAACTGCTTTAAGTGGAGCAGGAAGAGGGTTGGGGGTAGGGAGATGGTAAGGGCAACCAAACCGACATGCAATGTAAGTCTACACAGAATTATCCATGAATCCCTCCTATACAATGACTATACGCTAACAAAACTGAAAAAAAACCCTCTGCATCTCCAATGTCGTACACAGCATAAAATACATATCTTCTCAACAAACTTATTCCATGAATAAATACTCAACACACTGTAATATTAAAAGTGTATATGAATGAAGTAGGTTTTCCCATGACCAATTATTTAGCTAATAGAAATGTATAAAAGAAAAACTCTTAGGATAAACTGACAGCAATGCCAGAAGTAGAATAAAGAATACATTCAGACCTGGCATGGTGACACTAGATCAGAACTTTCCAAAGTTCAGCCCTAAGGGAACAGGGAAAAGAGATCCTAAAAAGCATCTTAAACTGTAAACAAACACCCACTGCTCCAGTCTTCTGACTAAAAGAGAATATCCACCTCTGCAGGCAAGGAGACAATTAAAGGACTGTTTTTGAAAACTGAGAGGGAGGGGAGGTGGTGTAAGGTAGGGAGAATGCCACTGAGTGATGATTAAGAAAGAATACAGGGGCTGGCTGAGTAGCTCAAGTGATACAGAAAATGTGAGGCCCTGAGTTTAAAAAAAAAAAAAAAGAAGGCTGGGCACCAGTGGCTCACACCTATAATTCTAGCTACTTGTGAGGATCATGGTTCCAAGCCAGCTTGGGCAAACAGTTTGTGAGACTCTATCTCAAAAATAACCAACACAGGGAGGGGGGAAGAGGGAGAATGATGGAGGAGATAAATCTAACTAAGATATATTGTAAGCATACATGTAAATATCACCATGTGTCCCCCTGTACAACAATTATATGCTAATAAAATTTAACAAAAAAAGAAAAATACTCAACACAAAAAAGGCTGGCAGAGTGGCTCAAGCAGTACAGCGCCTACCTATCAAGTGTGAGGCCAAGTTCAAACCCCAGTACCACCTAGGTGAGTAAATGCATCCCCGACCGTACTCATCTAAGTAAGCATCAACACGGTAGCATTACTACAGAGAGTGCGTGCGTCTGCCTCTCTTTAATCCCCTGACCCAGTATCTTGATACTCAGCCAGTATTATCTAGACTCGGTCATTGGTCAGACGTCCCAAGAAGCTCCCGGGTCTTGGCACCAAAAAAGAAAAAAAAGAAGCAACTGTGCCAAGAAAAAGAAATCCTTCTGCAGTAGGGCCTGGAATGCGACTAGGGCCAAGCATCACACTAGGCCAGAGCATGAGGTGCTCTCAGAGATTCGAGGTTGGTGGGGAGGGCCCACACTGAGCTCCTTCAGCTGTGCTGCACTGGGGAAGCCAACAGGGCCTTCATGCACTAGAGCTCATAGCCTCATTTTCTGGGCCTCCATTCTCAACTGTAAAGTAAAGCTCTGAAATGCAAAGTCTCTGTCAGCTTGTGTACCCAGGAAAGCCTTGATCCTTCAGCAGAACAAGTCTGACATTCCAAAAGATCTGAACTTTGACCAGTCAGTGCTCTGACAGGTCCATATCACAGTATTTAATTATTGTGAGATAATTTACAAGCAAGTTAATACTGTTACCATACTTTCTAGATAAATAAAAAGGTAAAGTAACCTCACAAATTTCCTGTCCTCTCATAGAGAAAAAGGCATGCGAATATTTTAGAAAGTAAAAATCATTAACAGGAATTTCTTCAGTTCCTGCTATGTCTTACAAAAGCAAGTCAGTTGTCCAGGCTTTTAGCAGTCACAATCACAGTATATTTTAAGAGCTGGAGGTGTGGTTCAAGTGGTTCAAGGGCTTAGCAAGCATAGACCCTGAGTTCAAACCCTAGAACTGAAAAAAAAAAAAAAAATTAACCAACCATAGCATATCTTCCACTGTCACCACAACTGTAAATAGGGAACAAGACAGACATTCACTTTAGCACTCTCAGAACAAGGCTCACAGGATCATAATGCCATGGCTTAGAACATAAGGGGGTTTTGTGTGTGAGGGGTAGAGAAATTATTATGCATTATGTTCCTAAAATGAACTTAAATTTTGCCCTACTCCTAATTTTACTTATTGTGTTATCTACTCAAAAAAACCTTGACACAAGTCCTTCAACTAAGCATATACAATGATGTTTATTACTCTCATTTGATAGTCTCATCAATTATAAAGAAAAAATTCTATACAAACTAAGCTAAAATCTAGCTTATGATTCTTCTATGGATGGCTGCCACTGCCTCAATTTTGCTAAACACCAACATAACATTACTAAAGATAGGACATATATTTTCTCTCTTGTTTAATATATCTGGCCCAGTATCTTGATAAAATGGAAGACACCCAACTCCTTGAGAATTCTTAATTTTTCAATTTCTTTCCAAGGGATACTGCGAACAACATTTAGAAAACTCAGTGAGTATGTTAATGGTGCTGGTGCAGTCTGTGATCAGAAGACTTTCAAATTCTTTTTATCCCACCGGAAATGGCAGGACACATGAGTGTAAAGGGAGTTTATTAAAATTTAGGCATGGGAAATACAAAGGGAAGCACGGTAAGGCCAGGTGGAAGCCAGGAGCCAAGAGAGTGTATTTCTGCTCTTCAGGTCCATTTAAAACCTACAATAACCTACGGGAAGGGAGAACCAGATGATTCTCATCCAATACTCATCCAATAATCAATGAGTGGGGAGGGGCCTGGGCGTCCCCAGCCAGGTGAGGGCAGTTCCTGGGCCAAAGCATGGTTAATCTAAGATGTAATTTTTTTTCCATGAGCCCCAAACTTTCCCTACTTTAAAAGCCTGCCGCAGATTGTGATTGTAAACTCCTAAGCGAAAAACTTACAAACTGTAAATCTGTCATAAAATTTCCCCAGTCCCAAACACACACAAACAATTCAATTAAGAGAAGTTTAGAGCTGGTGAAGTGGTTCAAACGGTAGAGCGCCTGCCTCCTAGGCATGAGGGCTGTGTTCAAACCCCAGTCCAAAAAAAAAAAAGTTCAAGAGCAACCTCTGCTATAATCATAAAACTATAAAACATCTAGGAGAAAATCTAGGTGACTGCATTTTTTGACTATTAGTTTTTCAGACAATACCAAAAAGCATGACTTATAAAGGAAATGGGCAAACTGGATTGTAATTACAATTCAAACCTTCTATGAAAGACACTATTAAGTCTCACGCCTGTAAACCTAGCTACTCAGGAGGCAGAAATCAGGAGGCTTGCCCAGGCAACTAGTTCTTGAGACCCTATCTCAAAAAAACCCATCACAAAAAGGGACTGGAGGAGTGGCTCAAGGGGTAAGAGCACCTGCCTAGCAAGCCCAAGACCCAGTGTTCAAACCCCAGTGCCACCTTTTCTTGCCTGCAGAAGTGACTTCTGGATTGGATGGGTGTTCAGAATTTCAAAGGAGTAGGATCAGAAGATCACTAATAAGAGATAAGCTCTCCAAATGGGTCCCGAGCCTGAAAATACTCACTCCAAGGAAAGGTGAACTAGAAGGCCCTAGATTTTGCCCTTCAAAATCCGGAAGCAGAATAGAGAGCAGGAATGGCCTGTTGATGATTCCATTTTTGTACCAGCTGGGAGCTGACACTCTGCAAGAGTTAGGCACTATCCTACAATATGTGGTCCATATGCTGTTTCTCTTAGATTCCAAATACTTGGGTCCAGGAACCACAAGGATGGCACTGCTTACAGTTCCTTAGTTTTATTTTTCATCCGTATGACTCAAAGCATGTGTATTCTGTCTATTCTCTCTCTCTCCACTTGCACAGAGCAAACTCTTTGTCTTTCTCTCTCACGCTACACAACACACACACACACACACACACACACACACACAGAGAGAGAGAGAGAGAGAGAGAGAGAGAGAGAGAGAGAGATGGGAAAGAGACAGTTTAAGAGTCAAAATATCATCCTCACAGTGTCAAGTCAATAGGTAATGGCTAAAAATGAAAAATCTAAAACTAACAGTACAAACCAGTTATTTTGAAAGAGGGAGGTTAAAAGAAAGAAAAGCCAACTAAATGAGTTCTAAGTGTTAGCCTTTGGAAAATGAAAAACAGAGAAAAAAACTGTAGAGGTGGCCACTGGTGGCTCACGCCTGTAATCCAAGCTACTCAGAAGGCAGATATCAGGAGGATCGTGGTTCAAAGCCAGCCCTGGGCAGACAGTTCGAGAGATCCTATCTTGAAGCCCTGAGTTCAAACCCCAGTACCAAAAAAAAAAGTGCCACAAAAAAAAAAAAAGGAGAAACAAACAAATACTCTTTTTCCTAACACAAACCATAGAGGACTACATAACTATTTAAACTAACACATGAATAGAAGTGTCAAAAATCTAGGAATCAAGACACCTGAGTTCCAATACCAGCTCTGGCAATAACAAGCTTAAAATAACTTCAAAGTCTTCTTTAAAATTTTGAGGGCCAAAATGGGTGCTGGGGGCTGGCACCTGTAGTCCTAACTATTTGGGAAGCTGAGATCAGCAGGATCACAACTCAAGGCCAGCCCAGGCAAATAGGTACTCAAGATCCCATCTCCAAAATAACCAGAGCAAAAATGTACTGAGTTCAAACCCCAGTCCCACCAAAAAAAAAGTAAACATGCAACTCCCAAATAACCCAGAATTGTACTTGTGTGCATTTATCCCAAGAAAATTTACTTTCACACAAATATGTGTATTTACACACACAAAATGAGTGTTCACAGCTTCTTTTATAATGGCAAAAAGCTGAAAACCCAAATATCTTTCAATTTGTGAATGATTAAACAAAACTGTGGTTCATCCATAGCACAGAATACAAGTTAGCAGCAAGGAATGCACAATCATAAAAACAAAGTGATGGTGCCAGTGGCTCACACCAGTAATCCTAGATACTTAGGAGGCCAGACTGGGGCATACATAGTTCATGAAACCCCATCTCCAACATAACCAGAACAAAATGGACTGGAGGTGTGGCTTAAGCCATAGAGTGCCTGCTTTGCAAACTCAAAGCAAGCTCAAAGCCCTGAGTTCAAACCCCAGTCCCACAAAAAAAAAAAAAAAAGTAAAAAAGGAACAAGAATATCCTACCTCTGCCAGACGCCAGTATCCCACCTGTAATCCTTGCTACTAAGGAGGCAGAGATCAGAAGGATCACAGTTTGACTCCAGCCCAGGCAAATAGTTCGAGAGACCCTATCTAGAAATAAAACCCTTCACAAAAAAGGACTGCTATAAAACCGCTTATATTCTTGTTCGTTACCGAGCATGTGGAGAAGCGCTTTTTACTTATTTTTCGGCAACACTGGAGTCTGAACCAAGGACCTCCCATGCCTAACACTTGAGCCACGTCCACACCCAGGCATGGAGATTTGAAGTCACAGTTCTCCAGTCTGAAAATGAACTGTTTAATAATCTGGGCTAGTTTGCCACTTGACTATTTATTGTATGTCAAACATGACACCTGGTATCAATAAAGGAAATCTGTTTAACTGTTTTTTTTTTTGAGACAGCATCTCACTGTGTACCTGGACTGGCCTTGTATTCAAAATTCTCCCGTTTCCTAAGTGCTGGAACTACAGCCATGAACCACCAAACCCAGCTAGGGAATATTTTTGAAGGGCCTGATCCTTTTTAAGCACATGTATTTTACACACACACACATATATTTACTATATATGTATATCCCTTTTTTGGGTGTACTAGGATTTGAACTCAGGTCTCACACTTGCTAGGCAGGCCCTCTATCACCTGAGCCACACTCCACCCCTTTTTTTGTGTTAGGCATTTTCGAGATAGGGTCTTGAGAACTATTTGCCCCAAATCCTCCTGATCTCTGCCTTCTGAGTAGCTAGGATTACAGGCAGGAGTCACCAGCACCTGACAAGCCTTTATATATTACTGACAATATCACTAACATTTGCTTTATAATATAATCTTGAGCCAGGTGCCGGTGGCTCCTGCCTATAATCCCAGTAACTCAGGAGGGAGGGACCAGGAGGATCAAGATTTAAAGCCAGTCCGGGCAAAGAGTTTTCGAGACCCTATCTCAAAAATACCCTTCACAAAAAAGGGCTGCTGGAGTGGCTCAAGGTGTAAGCCCTGAGTTTAAACCCCACTACAGAAAAATAATAATAATTCTAATAACAATATAATCTTGGGCTGGGGCTATAGCTCAGTGATAGAGCTTGTGTTTAGCATGCACTGGCCTCAAACCTCGATCCTCCCAATCTCTGTCAGTCTCCCAAGTAGCTAGGATTACAGGCATGAGCCACCTGCGCCAGACCCGTTTTTTACTTTTATAAAAGTACAATTTAGGAAATAAACTTTAATGAAATAATGTTAAAGGAAAATTAGATAAATAACATTTGTCAATCACTGATATTGTCACAGAAACAACTCAGACTCAGGGGAAAAGGGATCCAGCACCAATTGAAGTCTCCTCAATTCAAGTCCAGTAGTCTGTGGGAAGAGGCATACTCAAAGTTCAATTCCTTAACAGTAAAGAATTGTACAGAATGCTCTCTTACAGTGGCTGGTAATGACAACAAACAGCCACTCACCTGAAATAAACTGCTTGGGATTCCAGAAATCTCCCTTATGTGCCTGAGTACTATTGAGTGAAGATACAATGTCAATGCCTAAATTCCTTTCTCATATGTGAAAGGCGGGGGACAAAAATCAAACAGTGCAAATGCTTGCTCTATTCATTTTTCAAGTAAAGAGAACAGGTTCATTTATTCAAAAGTAAATTTGTTTACTTCCTTATTCCCAATACTCTGGAATCAAGGTCAACACTACTTGCATATACCACCACCCCAACCCATTACCAGAGAATCAGGTGCTGGTGGCTAAGGTGGTAGAGTGTCCTGCGTAGCAAGCCTGAGGCACTGAGTTCAAACCCCAGTATCACCAAAAAAAAAAAAAAAGAAAAATTATATTTGTGTATGTATATATGGTGTGTGTCTCCAGAGAGTTTCCTTCTTTGAAAAGATAATTATAAACAAACTTACTAGAACATTTAACTACATTAAATGACCCGTATTTTGTTAATTTTTATATATATATATATAAAAGATAGGGGTAGCTTGGTGCCTAGCATATGTGAGACCCAGAGTTGGGATCCCCAGCACCATAAAAATATTCGAGTATTGTCCAGGATGTAATACAGCATTTGCCGAGCAAAAAGCCCTGGATTCTGTTAAAAATAATAATAATAAATTTTAAATGATCGCATTTCAACTATTTAATACAAATAAGTCACTGTGTTTGTTACTATGTGTAAGTAATGTGTCTGAGGTAGCAATGAACTGGCTACAAAACAGCATCCCTTACGTTTCGGATGGTAGGCCTTCAGGTTATTTAATTCCTATGAAAACTTCCCATAAGCCAGGCTCATGTCTATAATCCTACCTACTTGGGAGACAGAGACCAGGAGAAAGGAGGTTCAAAGCCAGCCCCTGGCAAATAGTTCTCGAGATCCTATCTCAAAAAAAAAATCACAAAAAAGGGCTGGCTGGTGGTTCAAACGGAAAGGGCCCAGAGTTCAAATCCTAGTGCTGCCAAAAATAAATAAAAACTGTCAACAAAAAAGTAAATTATTCTAAACAAACTAAAGAAGACTCCAAGTTAGATTAAATTTATACTTCTGATCACCTTAAATATGTCAAAATGGAGTCTGACATCCTGTTGACAGTCACTCCAAATTCCTTCCAGTGGCTCAGTAGGTAAAGAATTCAAGGAATTCAGGTCTTCAAGGTCTAACAAGCATAGTGGTTAAACCATAGTGAACGCCAAATTATTTGGGCAATGCTGGTTGGTCATCTAACTCCTTAGACTCCTTCCATTTTTTCTGTACTTCACAACTGCCATTGCTTCTAAATAACAGAAGGGGTACAGTTGGTAAATAATATAAATTAGTTATTGAAATGTGCAATTAGAAAATATCATAAATTAGTTATTAGAAATGCAAGGACAACTATGGTCAGGAATGTGGTTAAACTACAGTTTAAAATAAAGCTTCTGGATTACCCACGGATTTCCTTTAATCCACATAATCCTTCTGTTGCAGGCAAGGATAATCAGGATCACATTTCCCTTGAAGGCAAATGAGCACTTGAGGTGGTCTCCCAAGTGACTAGAGCAGGGAGCAACTAAGCTCCAGGGCAGGGAGTGCTGCAATCCCTCCTGGGATTGCACTAAAGAGGACACAGAGCTGCAGACCTGGCTCTAGCAGTACTACCTGACCAGATTAAACTCTTGATTTCAGTAGGAAACTACTGCCATTTAAAGCACCAACCTCAGGTGATATGCCCAACATGCAAAAAAACTATTGTAAGGAAATAAGGAGAAGGTCATGGTGGCATATGCCTATAATCCCAGCACTGAGGGAAGCTGAGGCAGAAAAATCGCCAGTTCCAGGCCAGCCCAGGCTATACAGCAAGTTCAAGGCCACCATAGAATACATAGGAAGACCCAGTCTCAAAAAACAAACAGAAAGGAATCATGCATACTTGGGGAGAAGGGAAAACCAAAAAATCCTGGAGCCAGGACTCGAGGAAAGCCTGAGTTAGGATTGATAAAAGTCTGAAGAGATAATGGAATTTCAGGCTGGAACCCGGTGACGAGTTAATGGCAGGCACATTTGCAATACATGTAGTGTATCATCCCTTCAGACCCCAGGAAAGTCAGGCACCAAAAACAACCAAGTGCTAGAATAAAGCGGACATGTCAGCAGAATGCAACAGTGCTAGAGAGAGAAGGGAAAAAAGCTGGAATTCAGAACATAATCCCTGACAAAATTAATCTCATCACTCTACATGGGAATTCCAGTTTTACCAAAGAAAGACAACATGATCCATCTATGCAGGATTTTCACAGTCAAAGGCCCTAAATTTTTTAGATGGTCCCTATCATACCTTACATTATGGGATGTGGTGAGCTTGACAGGTTCCAGGAGGAGCTCTGCGATCATTTTTTCTTTTTTAATTTAAAGCCTTTATAGCATCTCTGGGTCGGTCAGGTCAATTATTTTAGTGCATATAAACAAATCATGCCAAAGATTGGCATTCTGTCATTTCCAAAAGGAGGCCAACAATTAGGGTGATCAATCAACCACTCATTCCAGTTCTGACAAATTCAGTTTATGACAACTTTTCTCTTTAAAAAAAAAAAAAAAAAAAAAACATTGTTGGGTGTCCCGTAACTCACGCCTGTAATCCTAGCTAGTCCGGAGGCAGAGATCAGGATAGACAACCTGGGCAAATAGTTCAGGAGACCCTATCTCGAAAAAGCCAATCACAAAAAAGGGCTTGGTGGAGTGGCTCAAGGTGTAGGCCCTGAATTCAAACCCTACTACTGCAAAAAAAAAAATTTACTTGACAGGGCACTAGTGGCTCACACCTGTAATCCTAGCTTCTGGGAGCCTGAGATCAAGAGGACTGGACTCAAGGGCAGCCCTGGAAAACAGTTTGAGAAACCCCCATCCCCCAAATAAGCGGAGCAAAATGGACTGAAGGCCTGGCTCAACTGGTAGAGTGCCTGCTTTGCAAGCATAAAGTCCTGAGTTCAAATTCCAGTCCCAACAACAACAAAATTTTTTAACTTGCCTAGCAAGCACAAGGCCATTCAATTCCCAGTACTAAAAAAGTAAAAGCCATGTATAGGGAGTAAGAGGGGAGAAGGTGTAACTGCAAAAGAGTCAGTGAAAAGGGAATTCTTTGGGGTGCAGAATTACTCTGAATCCTTTTAATGGAAGAAAATTCATAGGATTACACCAACAGAGTATTACTTTAGATAAGTTTTTTAAAAAACAATACCACTTCCCTTTTAATTAAAATCTCTACTCATCCAAAAAGAATAGTATACTGACTCTGAAGAAAAAGGTCTCAATTAGAGATAAGCAGCATGCATTATCAGAGCCACTATTAGTAAGGCCTTATACACATCCCATCTAATCACTTCCCTCACTCAACTGGAAGCTTGTGACTCAGAATTATTTCACCTGCAGCTGATAACATAAAAGGAACTATGGAATATATGCAGGAACAGCAAGTTAAAGAGGAAGTATACTATTTTAGAGCCATTCTAAAGGGCAAAATTGGAACCAATGTCTGGAAGATCCGGAAAGACAGACCTTAATTATGATGAAGTAGAGGGTCCCTTCAGGAAAAGAATGGCTGCTTCCTACAGGGTGTACTAGCAGATACTGAGCTGCCATGGGCTCACAGGCACTCTTAGAAAAATAGCCCATACAAACCAGGAAATGGAGGGGGAAAAGGGAATCAAAGTCAAGGGAAGGATGAGAGGTAAGAGGAGGAAGAAGGCAAAGGAGGAGAGAAGCTGTCCCACACCAACTTAAAACATATGGCTTCTTCCTTATCTTTCTTTTCTTGTGCCTTATGTACAGTATCATTCTTCTAAAATTTTTTCCTCTGGGGTGGAGGTATGACTCAAGTGGGGAAAGGCCCTGAGTTCAAACCTCAGTACAAAGAAAATATATAAATTTTCTTCCTCCAACATATTTTTCCCCTGCATTTCTACTTTGACAACAGAACAGTACATTTCTGATTTCTCAGTACCCTTCTTTGTTCACAGACTACTTAGAATCTTGAGTCTCAGGCAAATTTGGTCTTGGGCGGGTGGGAATCCTGAACTGTCTGTCTTGTTAAATTACATGAAAAGCACCCAAATAAGTAGTTAGCAGAACCAAGTGAGACAGATTTATCTCCAAACATGGTAAAATATGGTAATGCTAAATCAAATGGCTCAGAGGACACATATATACATTCTCCTACACACTTGCATGTAATGGAAGATGGGATTCAAAAACTAAATGGTTTAACTGAACAAAAAAATTTCTAGCCAAGCAGGATGCTGGTGGCTCACACCTGTAATCCTAGCACTTTGGGAGGCTGAGATCAGGAACATCTCAGTTCCAGGCCAGCCCAGGCAAATAATTTGAAAGACCCCCATCTCCAAAGTAACCAAAATGGAGGTGTGACACAAGTGGTAGAGTATCTGCTTTGCAAGCAGAAAGCCCTGAGTTCAAATCCCAGCCCCACAAAAAAATAATAATAACAAAAATCCTAGCCAGGTATGGTGGTACATGCCTGTAATTCCAGCACTTGCTGAGGCAGGAGGATCAAAAGGTGGAGGCCAGCCCAGGCTACATAGCAAATTCAAGATCAGCCTGGGCTACATGGCTACATATCCAATACCTGTCTCAAAAAAAAAAAAAAGACAAAATCTTAGTGTAATGAGAAGCCACTAGAGCAGGAGAATGAGTATCAATCACTCTGACTGCAAAGAGACCAGTGAGAAAGCCACTACCCAGGAGGAGCTGGGGTGGTGCCAATCAAAATAATGTAAAGTAAACGTACTCAGGATAGACTTTGGAGGCTAACACTAACAGGCTTTGCTGAGGGCCCCGTTACACATAGATGGAGAACAGTGAAGCAGGGCTGGGGTGTTAACTCAGTACGACAGCAATGCACAAGCAGGCTGGGGATGGCAGAGAGAGGCCAGTAGAAATTTGAAGATTAGACGCTTGAAGTTCAAGTGCTGGAGGCGTGGCTCAAGTGGTAAAGAACCTGCCTAGCAAGTGCAAAGCCCTGAGTTCAAATCCAGTACCAACACACACACAAAAAAGAAGCACTCGTAATCCTAGCTACTCAGGAGGCAGAGATTAGGAAGCTCAAGGTTCAAAGCCAGCCCGGGCAAATAGTTCAAGAGACCCTATCTCAAAAAAAACCCATCACAAAAAAGGGCTGGTGGAGTGGTGCAAGGTGTAAGCCCTGAGTTCAAGCCCCAGTACTGCAAAAAAAAAAAAAAAAAAAAAATCTGAGAATCTACAGTATGTTGATAGTATTTAAAGCAAAGAAAGAGAATGACGTTACTCAGAAAGAGCACAGGTAGAGAAAGGAAGAGACAGCCTGGAAACCCTCCCCACATTAGGATGTTTAAGCCCCAGTACTGCAAAAAAAAAAAAAAAAAAAACTGAGAATCTAAAGTATGTTTGATAGTATTTAAAGCAAAGAAAGAGAATGACGTTACTCAGAAAGAGCACAGGTAGAGAAAGGAAGAGACAGCCTGGAAACCCTCCCCACATTAGGATGTTTTGAATTCAAGGAGAGAAGGCCAAATCAATAAAGAGGAGCAAAGCCACAAAACTCTAGCACCTTGCAAGGTTTTTATATTATGTGATTCTCTAGCCATCCATCTCCTCCATTATCTACTACCTGGCACACACACATTCAAGTTTTATAAATTAAAAATAAAAATCTGAGGCCAGGACCAGGCACCTGTGGCTCACACCTATAATCCTAGCTACTCAGGATACGAGATCAGGAGGATCGAAGTTCAAGGCCAGCCTGGACAAAAAAGTAAGCCCCTATCTCAAAAATACTCAACACACACACAAAAAAAAGGGCTGGAGGGGTGGCTCAAGTGGTAGAGTGCCTCCCTAGCAAGCATGAGGCCCTCAGTTCAAATTCTGTACTGTCCCCCTAGCCAAAAAAAAGTCTGGGGAGAGGGGGATAAAGGAGAATGGTGGAGGGGTGAAAGCAAGTATGATATATTTGATCTATTGTAAGAACTTTTGTAAATGCCACAATATACACACAACTAGCACAAAAATAAAAAATAAAAATCTGAGGCCAGCCAAACTTGGTGATGCATACCTGTAATCCCTACTACTTGAGACAGGGAGGCAGAAGATGAGAGTCTGATGCCAACCAGGCCAACGTTAGTGGAGACCCTACCTCAAACAGTAAAAGGGGTGGGGGGCTGGGAGTGTAGCACAAGTGGTAAAGTGCTTCCCTAACATTTGTGAGGCCCTGCATTCAATCCTCAGTAGCACAAAAAATAATTAAAATTTAAAAATCTGAGGGCTGGGGATGTAGCTCAGCGGTTAAGTGTTTGTCTCACATGCCCAAGGCCCTGGGTTTGCTCCCCAGCACCACTTAAAAAAAAAAAAAAAAAAATCTTGAGGCCAGAAAGCCTGAATAAGATCCTGTGCTCCCAGCTATTTTGAGCTAGGCTGAGGCCTAGTGCCAAAAGGTGTGCTGACCCCTGCACCTTTTCACAGTGTGTCTACTGCTGAGTTCGACAATCTAAACGAGACAACAGAAAAAATAAATAAAAAACACTCAGCAGAGAAGATCTCAAAGAAGAACATGAGAAAACAAGGTTCTTTTTTTTTATCGTTTTTTTTCATATAATTTGCTAATATTCACAAATTAAATTGGAGCCTTTATGGATCAATTTGTTCAAAAACAAAAAACCAGGAGGGGCTGGGAGTATAGCTCAGTGGTTAAATGCATGCTTAGCCCATGCAGAGCCCTTGTGAATGAGCACACACACATTGTGGGGGGGGGGGGTGGAAAAGATAGGCAAGAGGTGGAAAACATCACTGAGTGAAAAGTCACTGGGGGTGTGGCTCAAGTGGTAAAGCTAGCACAAGACTCTCTGAGTTCAATCTCTAGTACCTCCAAAAAGCAAACAAACAAAAATCAAAACCCGACCTGTTTCGAGGCCCATCTCCAGCACCACAAGCAAACAACCTGTTTTTTCCACTTCTAAAAACCAGCCTGAAGGAGGAATGTCCTAGTCAGTGGGTCAATCAGTGTGAACTCTGAAGATGTTTGTTATATCACCCTAAATACAATTTCAGTTTTAAACCAGGTTTCACTTTGTTCCACACCTGCTATTCTGAAACTAGTTCAAGATCCCTCCCACCACCCTTTCCTGCACTAAGATACTGTGACTTACACAGTTCTGCTTTTATCATGACACCCTAAGTGGAGCATAAAAATCCCCAAATGATTAATGAACTGCTGAGAACTCTGACTCCGTTGGAGATGATTTTATTAGGAATCATATTTCCAAACATCCATTCAGTGCTTCAAAATAAGTACTCCTTTCATTTAATTATGATGACTTCACCAGACAGCAACACTGCCCACAATGATGTTTACAAAAGCACTTGTCACTCCCTTCGGATGTAGCAATGCAGAAAAAAGAGTCTGTTTCCATACTCTCCCTGTGTTTATATACTCTGTAACAAGTGACAGACCTTAAGTGTCACTTAAGATTGGTTAAACAGCAAGAAGCAACTCAAGTTCATGTGTCGCACCACCTTCAAAGCC